GACTAGGTGAAAAATTACCCTTCACAGTAGATAAAAGTTAACTAAATGGATTTAAGGTTGAAAGAAGCAAAGGAATGTTATTAATGGAGATCAGCATAACTGGACTAATGCTGTAAATAGTGTGCCTCAAAGATTTGTACTTAAACCACAGACGTTGCTAAACACTGACACCGTGTTCCAATTCTATTTGACAGTGCCCCAAATCCCCCAGTTGTTATTTTAAAAAATCAGAGTAGAAAACCATGATTGATATCATACTGAAATGCCCAAAAATTCACACTGGTTCTGGAACTTTTACATCATCAAGTTGCATATTTGAGGCTTGCAGTAAAAAGACTGTAATTTATAAGTATAACAAGCTGGAAACATGACAGTTCTTTGGCGATATAGAAATAAAAATTTCAGCTGTCTGAGAGGTCTTCTTGTCAAGCGAAAAGTTTGGTAATATATATGATCTCTCAGGTACAAATGATCAAAAATTGGTGTAATTCAGACACATTGTTGGTTGAAGGGGTTGTGGGTAGTCAATGTTGACCTGGATTGGAGTGATGAATTTTTGTTTGTAAGAACATTGTTTTTCACCATGGTTTTGACGTGTTGACACGAGGTAATTTTTAATTATGTATTTTATGAACGAGACTTGTTTCTAGCTAAACATCTGTCTGAATTTGATATTTGTTTCATTTGATACAAATTTGAAAGCTCATTTTAAGTGTGAAATTTTGAATTAGCTAGTTGATTTTAGTGTTTTGAAGGTATTTTGGAACACCATATTATTGGTTAGTAATTGGTTAATAACAGGATTGGTGCCTAGTGTTGGTAAAATTAGTTGATTGGTGAATTAAATAATGTTGTTTACTATTTAGTCTTCTGTCTGAGGATGTCATTATTGACTGGCTGATTGGTGAATTAGATAATGTTGTTTACTATTTAGTCCTCTGTCTGAGGATGTCATTATTGACTGTTTTGTTAAGAGACAAAACAAGAGGTATTCACTGATGCTTCCTGAATAATTTCTAAGTAAACATTTTACATTATGTTATGTGTATGAAAACAGAGTTTAATATTTAAATGTATGATGTTCAGTTGTGTGTTTTTACTGGGTTGTTTTGCATTTCTAAATTTACAGTTACTATGTGACTGTTAAAATTGGCTTAATATATTGTATAGCTAGTATAATTAAATATTTTATTTGTACATCACTGTATTTTGCCACCTGCAAAATGTTGAAATACCTAATTATTCTCAGGAGGGAGTTTTGGGCCCAAGCCCTGAATCTTTTAAGCACCTAGCGATGCTTCTGATACTTGTTTAAAATAAGGACATTGATATTGTCACATCTGGGACCCTGGATCAACTTTGCTAATGATATTAAAAGTCTTGAGTCTGGCTGTAATAAGGGTATTATGATTTGATATGTAGATTGATTGGTTAGTTTGACAAACACACGGAAGATGGCATTTAACTATAACAATACAGTTATTCTTGTAGATTTTCATAATATTAATTACACATAAAATAGAGAGGGAATTATACTTTTATGGGTGGAGAAAAGGACCTTTGGGTATTAGTTGATAAAACTCTTAAGCCTTTAAGATAGTGTTTTATATATATAACAATTGAGACTAGAAATCTGTAGTGGCTGCTGTTTCGTTTACGATTTGTTAGGCCTCTTGGATATTGTGTACAGTTTTGGCCCCCATATTTTATGAAGGATGAGTTGTTGGAAAGGGTTCAAAAGAGTGTTCTTTGGATGATTCTAAAGATGGATGAATGGGTTGTCTTATGAAGATAGGATGAGATCTTTAAACTTGTTTTTCCTTGAAACTAGGAGAGTTAGGTGTGATTTTATTGACTTATTAAAAATTAAAGAGAGACTTGATTAGATTAATACATCAGTTATTTTATTATTAAACTCTGATTGCAGTAAACCATAAATGTAAGGTTTGAAACGATCAGACATCTCCAGCTATGGCAGTTTTATTTCTCCAACAGAGTAGAAAATCTGTGAAACAAGTTACTAACTAGAGTAATAGAGGCTACAATGTTACAGGTGTTTATGAAAAAGGTTGATAGATAATGGAGCTAGATTTAGTGATAGATTTTCTGTTTGTATAGGTAAATTGGGAATGAGGATACTTCATAATTTATATTCGATTGAGCTTTGTTAAATTGAAAAACAACATAATGTTTTATAAAATATCAAAGCACACTAAAATATAACTTTCAATTACCACAGTTATGTCTAAAACACACGGTGTTATAATAAACATGATACCATAAAAAACCTCTTTTAGTTAAATTTATTAAATAAATTACAGAATTCCTTCTGGTAAGTCAAGTTTTTGTACTCTTACATAGATTAGTTTGTTACTATTTATAACATAACATAATATTTTGGGACCTATTGGTCCATCTTGGCTTTTCCATCCTCAAAACTAAATTTAAATGATTTAAAAAATAATAATAATAAAAAAATTAAACCCAGCCCTTTTCATATACTTGTCAAGTTTTCTGAAACTCACTTAAATTTACTGCCTCTACAACATCTGAAGACAACCTATTCCAAAGGCCAACCACCTTGTTAGAAAAATATAACTGTCTTAGCTGAATATGACTCCTATCTTGCCAAAATTTATATTTGTGGTCCCTAGTCCTACTATTCTCATTGTTAAATATAAAAAAAGATGATGCATCAACACTGTCAATTCCCTTTACAATCTTAAACACTCCAATCAAATACCCCCAACTCTTCTTTTTTCAAGAGAAAACAACTTGAGAGATTTTAGTCTCTCATGTCGTACAGCAACCCCCTCCATCCCAGGCACCATTTTAGTAACCCTTCTCCGAACCCTTTCCAACAATTCAATGTCTTTCCTAATATAAGGAGCCCAAGACTGAACACAATATTCAAAATGTAGTCTAACTGAAAGTATAACCTCTTTAGATACAACTTAAAATCATATTTGCCCTACCAATAGCAACAGCACACTGCTTGGATGGTTTTAGAGACTGATCAACTATTACACCAAGATCTCTTTCCTGCATAACACTATTAAGGATATTCCCATCCAAATTATACTTGTAATTCAAATTATGATAACCCACATGCATTATCTTGCATTTATTATAATTAAAAAACTGGAGGCTCACTATAAAATGTAACGTGGAGTAGAAGCCTGACTTTCCTCGATTGTGGCTAAGTGTAACACAAAACAGAGAACGATACTGGTTGTCAAGTTAAGTTATACTTTCACGTTAAGTACATAATGTGTTCTTAGTCCTTAAACATTTCTTCATGTTGCATGCATGATATTATAGTTTGGGTACCTATTCTATCCTTCTGATGATGCGAATCTTTACTAGTTTCATTCAGGAGCATTGGGTGGATATATATATATATTATATCTATGGTGCTTGAAGTGGGGGTGGTATGTATGCTTCTTAGAAGTGAAATTTTCAATAGATGATGGAATAAATATTTACTGCGGCAAGGAACTGGGGGGGGGGGGTATAGTTTTCCATAAATGAGCGAGGCAGGAAGGAGGCAATGCAGTACACGGATGAAGGAATGAACTCTCTCGCTACGGGCTCCATCAATTTTGTTTTTACATTTGTTTGGAGTTAAGTACAAAGCTATACAATGGGCTATCTGTGCTCTGCATACTACGGGTATCGAAACCCGGTTTCTAGCGGTGTAAGTCCGCAGACATTCCGCTGTGCCACTGGTGGCAAGGCTCCATTGGTATAACCGAGTTCACAAAGTAACCATCAGAGTTTCCACACTATAACTCGTAATAATATACATTTGTTTATACGTCATTTTAATGTTTTATTGCCCCTTGAACTGTGCATAACTAAGAATACCACCAGACAAGTTGTAAATCACTCGCCGAACGTGCAGATTTTATTATGGTATCGAATTACGTAACGCGCTCATACCTCGTGAAGGATTATTATTTTACTTTACCTAACCTATAAAGTTTCAAGTTATTTACTTTATAATAATAAACAAAGATTACACATTAAAAACAAGAAATATAACTCTCAGCCTAAAAATTTCCACAAATCGTCCTGCTTTCTTTTTAGACCCAACTTTAAGCATTGTATATATATATATATGTGTGTGTGTGTGTGTATATATAGATAGATAGATACATACACACACACACATATATATATAAAGTAGACATTATATTCTATCAAATTTTAAAGCGACATTGTGCTTTGTTTGGTAAAAACGAGAAATAAATTTGGCCTTATTTCTAAATACATTTTTCGTAATAATTTATTTATTTTACGTATGACGCGTTAATATACCATTTGTAATACCGAATTTAGCCGCTAAGTGTCGCAGGTAGACTACGAACTTATAAAGTAAGTGTCATCATCCCGAAGTTTTTACCAATTAAAAGAAAATATTTTTGTTTCTCGTCTTTGTTAAATCTTATACAGGTTGGAACCATGGGATGCGATGGAGGGACAATTCCCAGGCGAGATGAACTGGTCCGTATGAAAAAAAAGCCCGAACAGGTAATAACTGTACTATTTACACTTTACAGTACTACTACTACTATTAGTATATACTAAGGCTCTGGGGAGGCCATTTAAAGTTGAATACCCGTTTATTTCGAAGCGGCCATTTGGTTCATTTAAGCTATCTCTCTCTTTTTGTTTTTACTACTAGCCTCTTTCAATTACATACAGAAACCTCTTTTCTTATATTCAACTGTGATCTTTAACATATTCATCTGATCCATCCTCTTAAACTAAAGTTAAACTCTGTTAAATACTAAGTTAAGCTTAGCAGAATTGCGTATTACAGATTACACTTAGACCTATACTTTATATTATTGTATAATAAGATAGTGTAAACAGCATCTAATACGAATGCAGTTCCTTAATCCACGTTTTTTTATCCAAGTTTTTCGTGTTAATTAGTAGTGAAGTTGAAGGCCTAAATGAATTGTTGAATCATTGTCACATTTTGTTACTATAGCAATGCTTTCTCAGTATATGAAATATTTATCAAACAAGTTTATTCATAGATTTTAAAATATGACATATAACTTTATTTAGTATTTTTTCTTAAGCTTTCAAGACATTGTATTGTTGCTAATGAAAAAGTGAATATAAATTTGGGTTGTATGTACGGAAATATTGAATACTAGTATAAAAGCCAGTAAAAAATGACACAAAACCAAAGTATATCAAATTTCAAACCTCTAGTATGCATTTACAACTTTGCCACCATAGACAGACATAAGATAAATAAAGGACCTATCCTGAGCAATATTTCCTTTTCCTAAAGCTTGCATCTTCATTGATCAGTTATTTTCTAATCACATAAATTGCATTATTGCAATAGTTGTATTAAAACCACATTTTTGTAAATACTGAGCATCATTAAAAACTTTCTCTTCATAACGAATGGCAAATTAATTTTACTCGGTACTAAATAAATCCTTGGTATAAAAACTTGACAAATTTTTATATAGCAGAAAAAGTGCCAAAATTTAGGAGCTACTTATGCAATTAAATTCAATTAAAATGGAAATGGACAATGAAAAGAGGAAGTATCATAGGAGAAAAGTATAATTGGACTCGTTACTCACGAAATTGGAGAGAAATCCAGCGTGACTGACCAACCAACACTAGGCTTTTATGATTACAATAAGTCAAGGGAGGTTATTTGTATACATCTTTGGTTAGGTCTCATTTTAGAGTATTGTGTTTTGTCTTGGGCTCCATACTTTAAAAAGATGTTGGAAAGGTTTCAAAAGAGGGTTATTGGGATTATTTCTGGGATGGTGGGGTTAACAAATGAAAACAGTTTAAATTTCTTAATGGTGCTTTATGTTTAAAGAATAAAGGTCTTCTTAGTGATATTCATCATAAGACAAGAGGAGGCCAGCCTTTACAAAAGTTTAGAAGAAGAATCAATAATTCCTGAAAAGTAAAGGGGTAACATAAGTTTTTACTGTTTCCCAAGAGTGAGTATATGCAACAACAGTCTTGAAAGACCAAATTGTCATTAGTTGCCCATATGTTATGCATGAGTTTGTTATGTTTAAAGACTGGAACCAAATAAGTTTGTTCTTTCTAGTTTGTATAATACTACTAAGTTTAGATTCAGTCTTAGGTTTCACAGTAGCAACAAGTATAAGTAATATATGTATAATGGAGGATCCACTGTTAACTATAACAGTATCATTCATTGTATAATCTTTAAATAAATATATTTAATTATTAAATTAAAAAGTGAATTAGTAATAATATGCCTGTAAAAAAATTTACCAAACTTATCAACCATACAATACATTTAAATACAACTTAACATTCTAAATAAGGGTCTAAATTTTTGTTTTACTCCAAAAACTATTCCAATCCATCATGTTTGAGAAATATTCCACAACATGAAAGCATAAGAATTTGGTATTTTCTTACAAATAAGATTCTGGGAAAGGCAGAGTTCCATTAATTAAAGGGAAAAATTTGTAAAATTAAAAATCAAACTTCTTAATTTAAGTACCCGAAACTATTGGTCAAATGGCTACTACAAATGTATGCTTACTTCAAAACATCCAGATGAACATTTACCGATATGCAACTTTGGAAAAATTCACGAGTATTGTAGACCAGCATGTATATATATTGATATTGTAGTTTATTGGCAGTTTTCTGTTGTGAAGTATGTATCACATCATGTGGAACATGTATTGTTGTTGAACATGTTAGATTTTTGTAAGTGTTTTATGCACGATTTATGTGTCAATTTAGCAATGATCCATTCAAAGTATTTCTCGAACACAGTCACCTATATTTATTTGTCCTAAACTTGTGAGTGACTTAGCCTATAACAATGTAACTTGGTTGTAAGTTATAAAACTAAACAATCTTAAGTTAACATTAATAACAATGTTATCGTAAGCGTAGTAAGGTTGGGTACTAAGGAGGCTTACCTGGCTGCATGCTTAGTAAGCCCGTAAGGTCATAATGCTAATAATATGGCCTAACCCAAAAGTCCTAGACTAGATCTAATAGTATTTTAATATAAATCTACATCATTATTTCACTAGTGACTAGTGGTCTTCGCTACTGTTGTAACTTTAACTTAGTAAGTGGAACACTGTGACTGTAACAAGTCTGTGTTTCTTGCAAAAGGGTTAGGGGTAGTATTGCTCCATGAATAACTTAGTTAATGTATATGACATTTTAATGGTACAGTTCTCAGAGTAATAGGCTCCAGATAATTGCTCTGACTGCACTTCAGTGTGTTAAACTGTTCAACTTTAAGGGGCTAAAGCCCCTTTAAAATCCCCATCAGGGCGTTGCTTCTGAACCCAAATGGGGGCCTAAGTAACCCCCATACCCTCAGCTTGTTTTATAAGTACCTGCAGAACTCACTCCCCCCTATATATCCTTTCTTAATGATAGGCTTAAAAATCAACCTAAAGAAATAATATTAATATATTACATTCAGATAAAGGAAAGTTTCTTGTAGTTTTGAATGTTGCTGAAAGTAATAAGAAGGTGCTGTTGATGAAGTTCTTACTTAAGTGTAATCCTATGGAAAAACATTAAAAATTGACTTATTGCTCAGATCTTTTAAAGCTAATGGTAATTTAACTAAACAAAATTAATAATGTTCCTTGCATAGCTTTATAGACCAAATTCCTCTATTGTGGATAAATCATAGTCATCAAGGAAGTTCTCTGTTCTTAGAACCAAAACTAATAGAATTTTAAGGAGAATTTATAGTCCCCATAAAATAAGTTATGTGACGGCTTGTTAGAATTTTATTTAGTCTGTCATGATGTCTGCTGTTTTTGACCCTCTACTGGTTGTTTTATTCTTACCAAGAAAAAAGTACTTTTGAGTTCAGATCCTGTTATTATTTGGCATGACAATCATTTCTGATCTGGTTAAGAAAAAATTGGGAAGTTTAAAAAATGATAAGGCTTCTGGGCAAGATAATATTTCCCTAAGGGTTTTGAAGGAGGTTAAAGATTGGATATGTGAGCCACTTACTACTATTTTTTGTCAGTCCTTGAATAGTGGGCAGGAACCAGAGGATTGGAAGTTAGCTTATGTCCCAGTAATTATAGGCCCATTAGTCTTACATCAGTTGTAGGAAAAGTTTTGGAATGTCTGTTAAAAGATGTTTTGCAAGGTCATTTAACAAAGTTTAGAAGCTTATTGGATAGTCAACATGGTTTCCTAAGGGAAAATCTTGGTTAGCAAATCTATCAACATTCTTTGAAAAGGTTACTGCTTATGTAGATGAGGTGAGGATGTAGATTTGGTGTATCATGATTTTCAGAAAGCATTTGACAAGGTGTCACATAAAAGGCTTGTAAAAAAAATTTGCTCTGTAGGTGTGGGGGATAAGTTATAAATTGGATAGAAGAGTGGCTGGATGGAAGAAAACAGAGGGTTGTTACAAATGAGAGTTCAGTCAAATTGGATTAATGTCATAAATGGGGTACCTCAGGGCTCTGTCTTAGGACCTTTAGTCTTTTTGATTTAC